GACCATTGTCGTCCGGATCGTGCAGTAAATATTTTAGCTGTTGACTTTTCTTCTTCTATTGTTTTTCCACGCTTCACTCGACGTTTTGGTGGTTCATCATCGCTGATGCTGTCCGTTTCAAGATAACTTGAATCGGATTCATCACCTGAACCTTTTTCATCTTCTGATTCATCAGAACTATTTTTCACAGCATCAAGTATTTCTGGATCATCGGAGTCTTCGTCGTCTACATCATCATCTTTATCGTCCGATTCATCTTCGAAATTTTTGGCATACATATGCCATTGTTTTGTTTGATTGGAATTCAATCGCTTGTTCGAAGCCATATCTTTTCCAAAGTTATAAATAAAGAATGCAGCAAACAGTGATCTTATTATTTCGATTAGCGGATATATATATATTTCAAAATATAAGAAACGAAAAAAGGTTACTAAAAGATAAAGAACAAGACGAGATTAGTAGAAGATAAAGGGAATAATATGTCTAATCCATAGAGAAAGAATAAGGAAAAAAAACGAACGCAGCTAAACAGAAGAATATCTATGCTTCGACGCATGACGACAGAACGAAAGAAGAAATAGATGGAATAAATATATCCGTTGATGTCACAACAATTTTAGAACTAGAGATAATGTGTATTCGACGTCACTATTCGTGATCTATATGACATTGCCCTTGGGTTTTTCCGTATGTTTTCGTTTCTATTTTAGACTCCAGGCCAACGTTCGTACACATATCTATATATTGTTTCTTCTATTTGTTGTTGAGTTGTCCTTTTCATCTTTTCCTTTGTTTTGTCTTCTAGTTTCAATAAACTAGACATTTGACCTTTTTTCTCTTTCTTCCTATTACGTAATAAGAATTACATAATACGACAAGACGCGACATTATCTAACAATATCCTCAATAAAGATGCTCGACTACTTATATTAAAGGCTCGATAATCAAGAAAGTACCACACTGCTTCCAAAATTATTCAAATATAAAGAGTAGAACGATCTAAAATCATTCATTCGCTCATCAACATTATCTTTAAGAGCTGTCGAATATTATACAGAGATGAAAAAGAGATGTAGAAGATAAAATTGGAAAAAAATATATTCGAACTATAAGCAAAATCTGGTAGTATAAGATGGGGTCCGGACGGACCCCAGGTGGGCAACAAGCGTTCATATGAATTTCAATTGAATTTATTTCATAGGCAGCTATTGATGATAAGTAACTGATGTCAACATTATATTCTACTAACCTTGATTGGAGCATATCTAGAGAGGCGTGATGCGATCTATTCTAGTGCGTGTAAAAAGTTAAAATGAAATCAGTTGGGGTCCGGGCGGAACCCAGGTGGGCGGATGAGGGTTAAACACTCCCTCGTTAGTCGTATTTTAGCGCCTTTGTCGAAGTCGCTTTGATGTGTCTTCTAGAAAACACGCATTAAAAAAAATTTTGTTCCTGTCAAGAATTGAACTTGGTCTATTCGCTTACGAGACGAATGTGTTCACAACTGAACCACAGAAGCACATTAGTTTTTAGTCTTATTAGCCTCTTACCTTGACATTTCGTGTAGGACCTTGATTAAAAACAGACACATGGAAGGTGGAATGATGTGACTACTAAGCGTCTTTCTCGTTCACACGTCTTCCA